GACTGATGGGTGTAAGATAGAACATAGGAAGTTCGACCTCAACACGAGGAGAAACTTGTTGGCTGTGCGGGTGCTGGAGCCCTGGCCCAGGCTGCCCAGAGAGGGTGTGGAGTCTCCTGCTCTGGAGACTTTCCAACCCGCCTGGACGCGTTCCTGTGGGGCTGCCCTGGGTGACCCTGCTCTGGCAGGGGGTGGCACTGGGTGATCTCTAGAGGTCCCTTCCAACCCGCAACGTTCTGTGATTTTGTGTTGGCAGCTGCAAGATTTGCCAGCTGCAGGCTTACTGCAAATTCTCTGATTGCCATCTTCTCGCCTCTCTACAGTCCAAATCAAACCCTCCCTGGTGTAGTGCTTCTCAAGAAACTAACCCCTTGAGAATACAAACAAACAGCAGATCTCACCCTCCAGGCTTCTGCAGTTACAGTAAAGCAGTTTTTGGAAAGGTTTAGAAGCACGACTGAAGAGGTATAAGCTTGTTTCCAAAATACTACTAAAGATACAGGATTTGTATGGAAATCCAGAGGAACACAGCAGGCACCACAGTAGGGGTTGAATGGGTACGTTCGACTTATATTGCTGTTTCCAACAAACCACTGCCCTCATGAAGGAAAGGAAAATGGAAGGGATGAAAAAAACATATGTGTCTGAGAAAAATTTTTTTTAAAGCTCTGAAAGTGCTTGTGTACACTAAGATCACAAGGCTGTTCATTATGCAGATTTAAAGGCCTATAAACAGCTGGTAGTCCTGTCACTGAAGTAATTACATTACGGTTTTCAAGATTTAAATCCCGTTATTTGAACATTGTTTCTATTCAGTTCGTCACAGTGGGATCTCTAATTTGTTCAACATAGTCAACAGCAGAGTAGTCTATCTTGGACTAATTAGCACTCTTGAAATTTAGCAGCACACATTACACAGCACAAAGGCTAGCGTGAGAGTTGCAGGTTCTCTGCCTTCGAAGTGCTCTTGTGACGCTAAAATCTTCTGCAAGGTAAACATTTTCATTTTTCTAAGATTACTTTCAGCATTTCGTAAAATCCTGCTCAACGCAAAATAGTAAGTAACTTGGGGTATTTTTATGAGGATGAGAAGGTAAACGGAAACTGCACAGATGTTGGTATTTATATGGAAATGACGTTGAATGGCAATTATTTCTTTCTCCTACAAGAAACTAAAGTTGTAACACCACTGTCAAAACACTGGAAAACTGAGCTAGCTAATAATTTCATATTATCAGTAAAGAAACTTCAGGCTGATAGAATAATCTCACGTGGAGAAAAATCTCTGGAGGTCATTGCTCTTTCTCCTGAGTGAAAATTACTGTATTGAAATACGAGCTGCAAGTCCGGAGTGAAGCATATGGAACAGACTTACTTCAGAAAGATGAAGTCAAGTGCTGAAGGACACCTCTCGGGCTGCAGTTCGACTCCCACTTACCTCGTTCCCTCTGTCCCCCTCCTGTGCCACCTTACGGTGCAGGCACAGATATACACATGAGGATCTGGCCAGGGAAACCTGCGGATGTGGAAAGCTAACAGGATAACTGATATTATTGCCAGGGCTTGTGGCAAGTACGCTGCAGTGACCTGCTCGTCGAGCATCTCAGGTCAGCACCGAGACACTCTACTTTTGGCCAGCCATAAATGCACTTATAATCCATCCTTGGGGTCACTGAACCTCAGAACCTTAAAGACTCCTACCTCCCCAAATCCCAAAGGCATCAGCAAAGAGAAAGAATGAGAAAGGAGGGAGCTACCAGACTGAAAAAAAAGCAACCACAAGATCACACCCTGAAGCCTACAGGGGCCATCAATACAATGACGTGTTCTTCAGCAAATTTCCAGGTCATGATTTTACCCTCCTGGGCACTTAATTTCAAATGTTGTTTCAAGGTGTGTTGTGAAGAGCAGCTGGCTTCCCGAGACCAAGAAACCTGCAAATGGGCTGCCTTTGGCAGAGATTTTTTAGGACTAGCAGGGAAGAATCAGTAGTACGAATCAGAAGAATCAGCAGTGCGAGTGCCAACTAAAATACCAATGGCTGTGGGGGGTGGCAAACACCTTCTACTTGCACAGAAGGTCTGATGACTGATGAGGTCTAGTATCTGTTTTGGCCTTTATAAGTGACTGCAAGAGACAGTTGGCTTCCAGATGACCACAGCAATGTACATGGTGACATAGGGCGGGTCTGTGCACCCTGGCCACATGGACCATGGTGGTGATGACACAACACTGAGCCTCAGCCACCAGCCCCCATCCCCGGCTTTGGAGCTACAGTCAGCTGCTCCTGGACCATGACCAGGTATAGCTGCAGATGGAGGTGGCCTTCAAGACTCTCTGTATTTGGACCTACAGACACATCTCAGCAAATTTTTCCTCTTCTGGTCACTTTGTGCCTTGCATAAACCCCAGGCTCTCTCTACCCCTTGAAAAGAGGGATTTGGAATACATAGTCGGGGCTAGAGACTGCCACGTTCCCTTTGCTGGGGCAGCTTTGGCTGGTGGGCAGCTTTTGGTGTCATCCATGCATGGGTGCGGTACACCAGCAGTCTGGGAGCTCTCTTTGGGAAGGGCACGGCCTCATTACACCCATAAAACTGGGAGGATGATGCTGTCCTCCCACACTGTCTCCCACCCTCCCTCTCGCCTCCCCTTCACCCAATCATAACGCTGTTTGATGAGCTGGATCAGCTGTTTGACTGGATATAAAAAAAATCAGAGAGGGCATCCTAATTAAAAAAATAAAATAAAATGCAAAAGCAACTCCTGCTAGATCCAGCTGAAATATGGGAGCACAGACAGGTGGTGACACTGCTGCTTGTGCCCACAGCCTCTCTTCACCAGGTTATAAAGAGAAATGGCATCCTTCAATCACTGGCACTTCAGCACCCGCTTCCCATGTCAGTAAATGAAATTGGGCTTGCATCCGTACCTGGACTATAGCTGCATTTCCTTTAGTTTTACTTTTGTTTTCTAAAACATGACACAAAGTCCATCGTTGCTTTAAAAGCACATTTTACACGCTAAAATGGCTTTTTCCAGAGAATACAGAATAATGATGGCAACAAACGATAACTTCTCATCCTTCCAGCTTTGGGGGCTGGCAGAAGGGAAGGAGAAGGCTGTGGCCATGGTGGGACGGGGATGTCACCAGCAGAGACATGACGAGGATACCTGGTGAGCATGATGGGGAAGCCCTTGTCTCTTCTGCAAGAGGGGCTGCAAGTAGGAAAGCCTGGGAGCATCCCTCACTCCAGGACTAATTAAAGATACCAATCCTTCTGCAGAACAGCCTCCACCAGGAAAAGTCCTAAAATATAAATTGTCAGGACACAGAGCAAATTAAATATGCTCAGTACACTCCCACGCAGCCCTCTGAACTGCAGCCTACACGGTTGTGCTTTATCGAGGATCTAGAGTTGCTAATATTAATTAAAGTTATGCTTAAATCATAGAATCGTAGAATGGCCAAGGCTGGAAGGGACCTTAGAGATCATCTAATCCAACCTCCCTGTCATGAGCAGGGATGCCTCTCAACTAGATCATGGGCACTGAACATCAAATATGTGACACTTCTGTCATTATGAAAAATATTGAGATCTCACAAACAGAAAATTACATGCGGCTACATGAAGGCAGATGAGTTACAGAAAACGAAGACTCTCTTTAGACAAATTTATCTTTTATAACCAACCACTAAAAGAGGGAATTTGCTTGAATAATTAATGAATATATTTCAATAGTATGCTTTTATTACTCATTAAACAAGCATAAATATGAATTTTTAATTAGAATTTAAGGAAAAATGAGTTTAACCTTTCATTTTTTTGTTCTGAAAAGTATTTTTAGGGTGATTCAGGTGGCTTCCAAAGATGAACAAAGAAAGGGGGAGATGTTTGTCACTTCTAAGACACATGACAAACTCCTGGCCTGTGCCATTGCCTACTGGGAGGGTTGCTGGTGCTGATGCAGAGCTCCCAACACTGCAGAGGCCTGAGAGATGTGAACTCAAGTAAATTAACTTGGGTAATTGAAGTGAATTAATTTTATCAACTCCTTAAAATATAATTCATGTTTGGTGTTTTGTTTATTTATGTTTATTTAGCATAATACATGAGGTATCTGATGTAAAGTAGACTGTGTAACGGCAGAGATGTAGTGACAGAAATTGGTACTTTCCAATCTGAAGCATGCCAAGAGACCCAAGATGGGCACCCACCTTTCCTGCACCCAACCTCCTTCCCCAGGGAGCAAAAATACATGTGTTTCCCCAGGGTGACCCATCTAGTTGCTTAATGCTTTCAATTGATTTACTTTTCAGTAGAATAATGTGGCTTCAAATAACCACAGATTTAAAACTGAAACTTAAAGAGGAATGCTAAACAATCAGATAAGTCTTTTTCTTCAGTCAAATGGATTAAGTAACAGTTAGATAGCAATTAGAAGAAAAAAAAAACCACAAAAGTAATTTTTTTAGTGTCTTATGTATTGATAGTGTTTACAGAGGTGCTATTGGGAGGGAGCTGGGAGGGAGCTTCTAAGAGAGAAGCATTATAGTTGCTGGATATTGAGTCTTTTTACCAGTAGGGTAATAGAAGAACCTTATCAACTTGAGTTAGGAAATCAAAGACTTTAGATGTATTGATTTAGCAGCATTGCACACAGCTGCTGGGCAAAGAAGCGATCCTTCACAGCCAGCTCACTGCCAAGGGCTGCCCGAGTCAAATGGCAAGACCACACCTGAAGCTCCTGAGAAGACTGGATTGGGACTTCTGCTCTCAGATCCCACCTGTCCTTTCACCTGTCACTTCTCTCCCCAAACTGGTCTTTCTGTGAGCAGTGACAGGTATGAAATGCTACGTATCACTATTCCCTCTACAGCTAGCAGCAGCTTGCATCATGCTGAAGAACACAACTGCCTGTGACAATGACAAGTCCCCAAGGAAGACGTCTTGCACTGCCACAGCTACAGACCCACTGCTGGCCACAACTCAACTTACCGCTGAGCGGGTGAGGAATGGTGTATTGCCTTTTTTTGCTTGAGGTGGATGCTGAGGAAAGCCTGCGATCAAGAAGTGCTCCTTGGTTGCTTGCAGGAGCGTCGTTCTGCTGGGCTTTCCTCAGCTGGACCATATCTTCAAGTCTTTTCAGCCTTTCTTTTGAACGAGAGATGAACTGAGGGTTATGGATTTCTAGGGCTTCCTAAATCAAACAGAGAAATAGCTTTGTTTAAAAAAGAAAAAAAGAAGGAAAAAATATGAAATACATTTAACTGGGTTCAGTAAGAGATTATCCATGAAAATGATGGCTTGTTTGTGCAAATGTTAGCAAACCACCCCCCCTGTATGTCTTTACTTCCTTTTCATTTAGAAAGCTGCTTTGGTGTGAAATTTCCAGATCAGACAAAGGAGAATTTCTGAAAAAACCCCACCTCCTAGCTTTCAGAAAACGTATCCAAAAAGTATTGAATTACATATTTCCATAAGTTATCCAAACCCAAGTTCCTGATGTTGTGCCTATTTCCTTGTCTCACCCCATTGCTGAAGCAGCTCGTCACTGACAGTTCACAAACTTTCCTGTTTATTTAGGTTGTCATGAAAATCTATTCATGGCGGATCCAGAAAGAACACGCTTTCCAGACGAAGTCTGGTTCAACATTTAGGAATGTCTTAGGATAGAAGACAGGAGAGGAGACTGGTCTGCAAGGAGGAGAAGGCAGCAAAGTCTGTCTGCTGCTGGGGCTTGGTATCAACCCGGGATCGTGTCTGCACCTACTGGATGTCGTGCACTTTTGGGAAGTTGGCATTTTTGAGCTTCTATTTCCTAAGTGTCTTTGGGAAATTTGTAAACCCCCAAACTTTTAGCAAGTTCCTCTACAGGAACGGCAGGTGGGGCTTTGAATGGGGAGCTTTTCTAACCAGAAAGCCAAGCTGATGCAAGCTTCATCAGAAAGGAGAAAAATCAAGGAAATGCAAACTTACACCCTCAGCCGCTTGCCAAGAAGCAAACACCACCCATGGGAAGAAAAAAAAAAAAATAATCAATCCCTGTATTAACAACAACAAACAAGGTATTTTACCCGCAGCGTCAGGAGGGCTGGTGGAATTTTCTCGGGCCAGGCACGAGTGTCGTCGTTCTCACGAGAAGCATCTGGCAGGAATGGCCTTATCCTGCTGGCTCGCGCCCACGTGTCCTCCTCCTCGCCCTCCTTCTTTTTGTCACTTGAACCACAGAATTCAAAATCACCTTCGAGAGATTTTAAAGTTCATTAAGAGTGCATGGTTAATTTTTTATTGGGTTCTCCACCTCATTAGACACAGAGGGCAATTTCTGAAATAAGAATGCCAAGGTATTATTAATAGGGCCCATTAAGCAGAATAGATCAAATCTAATCATAGGTGCTACTCACTGCCCTGTGACACCCAGAGTTTCTTTCACATTAAGCCAGACATCACATCGAAGCGTAATTAAACTGCTCAGAGGCTCAGCTCCATTGGCTGGTGTTTGCTTCCCAAAAGCGAGACGCTTCTGCAACACGCTTGCACCACAGAAAACAAAAGGATGTCACGTGGCAATGTGCAGCTTGAGTTCATTTCAATTTATTGTGCATATTGTAGGAAATAACATATTGTTACAGATTTTAATCACATATCATTTCTCTTTTACTATACCAAGGCTTTCATAAACACTATTCTTGTTTTTTCTCTTGCTGATAATAAGGGTTTACTTCCTAGCATTTCGATATATTCATTAGTCAGTAGAATGACTCCATAGAAAAAAAATGCCAAAACCAAAAAAACCCAAACAAAAATAACCAAAACAAAAGGTTAGTGTGCATTACAGCATATTCTTAAGAAAGCTGTCAATTCACAACGTCCTCCATTGAGAACAGAAAGATTATTTTCTACACTAATAACTGTGTTTTAACGCTCTGTGACTGATGCTCCCTGCACAAATTAGGACCAAAATAGGCTACGTGCTCAAAAATCAGAGTCGCTAGGATTCTCCTTTAGAGGACAGAGTTAACCCAAAAGAACAAAGGGACTTCAGAAGAGCTCCATATGAACTATTTTGAAAAATCACACTGGAGTACTTCTTTCTTGCCAAATAATTTGATTTCTAGAACTAAATATCTGGGAATAGTGCCCATTACTGTTTTATTTCAATTTTTGGTTACAATAAACTTAAAATATTTTCCTCTTTATGACATATTGTACATATTATATTGTACTTACAAAAAAAAATACTAAAATGATCTGTTGGGTACATTTGCCTTATAAAAGCCTGAACTGCATTTCCTTCCTAACCCTGTTCTTGTTAACATTTTGGAAAACAACTTGAAACCCGTGAACATTAAATGAAAGTCCTTGTTTAATACTTGTTTATGGAGGTGTCAGTTAACTTTATCTTTGCTAGATCTCAGTGGATGCTTCACTTTTGTAAAACTAAGTCACTTCCAGTTAATTTAAATGGCACTGATTTAACTTCAGGCACTGAAAGCAGAATGAAGGCTTCTTTCAACTACACTGGCGTTACGTTCTGTAGGTTTATAGTCAATAATGAAAATGTTTTTGCCTGTCTGCCTACAAAAAACCTGTAAGAAAGGCGCTCTACAAAAAAAAGCCTTATGACCATCATAGCATTTTTAAGGTATTCCTGCAAGAAACGTCTCATGAACCTATTTGTACTAAAGCCAACTTAATCTATAGTATATCTCAGTTGTCTTCTCCAAAAACACCTTATGCAGGAAGGCAGCTGCTTGTGTCGTCTCCATTTTAGCTATGAGAATAAACTTTGGAAGTTCGACATCCCAACTGGTGCTGAACTAGAAGGAATTATATATTATGTGCCGAAACCTTATTGATAACCAATTGCTAAAACTTGGGCTTTTAATCAATCATTAAATCTTTTAATATTTTCTTTTTTTTCTTTTTTTTTTAAATAATTCATTACAATCTCTCCCAGTAAGGTATTTCATGCTATGCTTGTGAATTACATAATTCACGCTGTTGTTTTTCAGAAACCCAAAACTGCAGAAGTGAAAGGTATCACAACAAGGTTGTAAAAATAATCTCACTTCTGGTGTGTCTTGGTTGGACTGGGGTTGCTTGACTCTGCAATTTTAATGGTTTTTCAAGATTTTCTGGATCTACTTACAAAGTAAGCCCATCTCTCTCATGTTAATCTTGTTTTCTATTAACCATAGCAATGTATACAGTCAGATTAGTTGATTGATCTCTCACCAGATGACTCATACTGAACACTTAAAGCCGGACAAAAATGGACTGACTTTCCATTATTTCACTTTTTTCTTCGAGACTGATCTCATCTTATTATTGAAACCATATTCCTAACGACCACGGTAGGATTTGTACCTTACTTTTTAGGAGCTGTTTTTGCCTGTGAATATTTTCTTCTGAGAGGATTCTCGACAAAGCTTTTCTATTGCACATGGTACTGGAGACAGATGTGTTTGGTTTCAGGGTGCCCTGTGCTTGGATCTCTTTGGATTTGGGGGTGCATTTGGAGGGATCTCTCCTTATCAAGGAGCCATCCGTAGCAGCGGCGATCGCCTTTCCGGATGCTGTGTCTGGGAGAGAGCCAGAGGCCATCGTGCTGCTCCTGCCTGTGGTGCATTGCTTCCTCTTGCTTCCCAACAGCATTTGTGTGCCTGTGAAAAAAAAAACACAACAAAACAACAAAAAAGAAAACAACAACCCCAAATTCTTTAACGTGGGAACGTTTCTCTTCTCAGCCCTCTTGATTTCTATTTCCTGCAGTCATATGTTTTAAAAGTTCTGACTGATACAAATTTGATCCTGACTGCCACGCGGCTGTACTGCAACAAAATGTTACTGACAGCAATAATCACAGAGGATACTTCTCGTAAAAATAAACTGCCATTCTGAATAATACATACACCCTCTGATGGGCAGCGCGTAAAGAATCAAGATACCTCTGACAAAAAGGCAGGCTATCCATCCTTGTCTTACCTCTTACTCACTTGAGAGGAACATTTTAGATCAGTTCAACCTGATCAAAATTACAGTTATGGATCCAGCGATGGCTGCGATAAAAACAGGTCCAAGAGATTTCAGGATCAGGGTTTTTCACCTCTCTTTAGTGAAGTGGCTGCTTCAGTAGCATCTCGAGTCTCCAGCACTTCTAGAGCCCTGTTCTACCTCTGGGCAAAGCCACAGCAGTAACCAGGTCCAATTTATACAAGATACTCTTTCTCCTGAAATTGTTTTGGTGAGAAGGATGTTGCACAGCAGGTAGAGCTGCAGGACTCTGCCATGTCAGCAGTGACAGAGATAGCCAGGTAAGCTCTGTGCTATACAGACCTTGGAAGATGTTTCAAGCTCACCCCCGCTACTCCCAGCAAAACCCTAGAAAACTGAGAATGTGGGCAAATAAGCAAACAAAAGAAGATATGGACCTGCTCAAGAAGGTCCAGAGGAGGCCACAACGATGATCAGGGGCTGGAGCACCTCCACTACAAGAATAGGCTGAGAGAGTTGGGGTTGTTCAGCCTGGAGAAGAGAAGACTCTGGGGAGACCTGATAGGGGCCTCTCAGTGCCTGAAGGGGCTGCAGGAAAGAAGGGGAGGGACACTTCATCAGGGAGTGAAGTGATGGAACAACGGCTAATGTTTTCAAACCAAAAGAGAGTAGACTTAGATTAGACATTAGGAAGAAATTCTTCACTGTGAGGGTGGTGAGGCACTGGCACAGGTTGCCCAGAAAAGCTGTGGCAGGCCCCTCCCTGGCAGTGCCCAAGGCCAGGTTGGATGGGGCTTGGAGCCACCTGGGCTGGTGGGAGGTGTCCCTGCCAGGGACAGGGGGTTGGAATGAGATGACCTTTAAGGTCCCTTCCAGCCCAAAACATTTGGTGATTCATTTTCCAAGATGCATTTTAGATAGAATTTTGAAGGTAGATGAGATAGACTAGGGAGCAAAAAAAAAAATACAGGAAATTAAATCCAAAGAATTATGGACAATATGTAAAGGGTGTCAGTATCAGCAAGGGGTGGGAGAAAGAAGTAGCAAATAGGAACTAATCCTCTAAACCAGGTGGCAGGTGTCCCTGGTAGGCAGGCAGGCACCCACATGACCACGCACACAGCATGAATCTGCATTTTGTTTTTAGTCACGTGCACAAACTACCGGCAGTCCTAGCCACAGGTTGACCCAGGACCTAAAGATTTACGTAGATGGCAATGATCGACAGTTATTAAAAAATTCTGAAGAAAGAGACCGACAGAGAGATTTGGAAAATACAAGGGAAAAAACCCACCTGATTTCAGACCAAACCATAAACCCAAACGAACCAGGCGAGGATGGTCCCATTCTATATTGTAGACACAAGACATTTAATAAATGACTGGCGTTTCAGGACAAAAATTTTTTTAAAAGCAATTATTTTTTTTTCTGCTGACTCATTCTCAGCAGCTGCCCCTCTCTAAACACTTCTTTCCATTTTCTTGGCTGAGGACAGTGGGAAGATTAGCAGTGTTTTTCTCCATTGATCCAGTCCATGAGAAAGGGTAGACACCTTCTTATCTCACAGTCATTAAGTACAATTAGATCCCGCAGTGCAGTGCAGGAAGCTTTCAGTTTGCTTTCCTGATCCTTAATCTGCTCACAATAGATGAGATAGACCCTTTGCCACAAAATGATCTCCACTTGCACATTTTGGTGATCTGAAAGGCTCGTTTTTCTTTCTGATCATCCCGTGTTTTGGAAGAAATCAGAGGCATTAAGGTACAGCATTTAGTGTTTTTCCCTTACCGTGCAGATCAGAAAGCTTTTAACCTCTTAAGTTCCTTTCTGCAACTGCCCATAGAGGGGAAGGAGTCTGCTTCTCAGGGGATCTTCTAGAGAGCAATTCCTGAAGATCAGCATAGACAGAAAAAAACCCACTCTTTTTCCTAATTAAACGCATCGAGATGAACTCCATCCTAAGCAATTTCACAGCCACGCAGAAAATCTGGTCAAAGCAAGGAAGTGCATGCAGAGCTCCCAGATTCTAGGCTAGCATCCAAACTCTCCCTCTTCTCTCTGGTATAACTTAATTTTCTCTTTGCTTTTCACACTTTGCAAATATTTGCCTTATCTTTTGTCAAAACTTAGCTGTCTTCTCCGATTAAATTAGTTTTGATTCAAATACACTCAACAAACTGGATAGACTAATTCTGTACGTACGCTCATGCATATACATCGATCCGTTCCCTCATTGCCTGACAGATCCCATACCAGCAGTTACACACTGTTTTTCTACAAATGTTTTATGACATATAGAGGGGAAAAAACATTGAGACAGATTAATGGGGTCACAGGCATCAAAGTGTGCTTGTGGGAGCAGGTAGAAACAGGCAGCACAGCAGGAGAAGATGAAGAAAGCAGCAGGTAGCATTAAGTAACTGCAGAGCCACAGAGAAGAAGTCTTTTCACAAAGGTAGCCAAGATTCTGGAAGGATACAGGGTGAAAAAAAGAAGAGGGCAGCTAAGCCACAGAAAGAACTTGAATGGAAAACAGATTATCTCTTTAAATGATCTTTCAAATTGAAATAGTTTACCTGCCAGCAGAAAGGAGAGAGGAGAAGAAAAGAAAGGAGAAAGGAGAAAAGAATTTCTTTTCATCCAAGGCAGGAGATAATTCGTCTTCATATCAGGAAATGGTTTGTGCAACAAATGTGTGTGTTGCGAAGCCAAAGTGCTCCTTCAGGGAGACTGTCAGACCTCTCAGAACACTGGTGTCCCCCCTGGAGAGGCTATTTGTTATGACCAGGCGTTGGTATCGGAAAATACAGCACAAATTTTCAGGAGGTGCAAGGCAGCAGAATAAAACGGTGGAGAATGGAGCGAGTTGCCTCTAAGTCGCATATCTGTAACATCCTAGAATCTGGATCCGAGCAAAAGAAGGAAGAGTTGCCTGGAGTATTCACATTCCATTTACTCCTAATTACCAAACTCTCTGTGGATATTGGCTCTCAAGTATAAGTACAGTAACCCCCAAGAACTGAGAATTAAGCACCAGGAATTTTTTTTACACGTAGTGCAAGGAGAGGCAGCCTTCCCTGCTGTACTGCACCCCTTTCCTGCTAAAAGAAATGCTGCCCATGGCACTCTGGCCATAAGGTCTGAGGAATCCCTCCAGAGCTGTAGATTGGAAAGAAAGAAAAAAAAGAAAGGCATGAACAAAACTGCGAACAGGGTCTAAAACTGGAAAAAGGTGATGGCTGCTTCTTAGCACTTTACGACAACAAAAGGAAGGCTAAGAAACAATTTTAAAAAGCAAGACTTTTAATGAAATCCAGGTATAAAAAACTGTATGCTTTCTGCATGAGAAATGTCCTCCTTAGATCTTCTACTGATATTGTAACTAAATCTCAATCCTGATTAGATTCACAGTATGGTGGGGATTTTTTTTTTGGTAGTCAATTAAAGCAATAAGAAAAGGTGCACCTTGTTCTTGTCGAACATCAAAGGCAATCAGAATAATAACGGAGCCAATTTGGTAAATTCTTTCCTCTAACTCCCTCTTGAACTAACCTTTCGACTGAAAAGGTACACCCAGGCACAGGCAATGCCCCGGACGATACAGCAAAACCAGCCAGACATGGGCTCCAAAGATCAACTGCCCCATCCTACTAATGAATGCAGATGCAAATAATACTTAGAAAAAGAAAAAAAAAATAGAAAAAAAAAGAAAAAAGAAAAAGGCAAAGGTACTTAAAGGTGAGATCAGAGTTTCACTCTCTACATGCTGGATCCGTTTTTAATATACTGTGTGGGGAATTAGGACTGTTACTCTCATTAAGACTATCTGGGATTGTGTATCTAAATCCCCGCGCACCAAACTTGAAATGTATATGCCCCTCTGAGAATAGCTAGAATTGCAACTGGATGACTAGCAATATATGTTTTTTCTATTATCCCAGCTGAAGAAAGACTTTAAAACTAATGAACGGAGACATGCAAGTGTAATGCTTTGGGAGATACAGGAGAGCAAAACTCGAAGAAACAGAAAGCTGAATGATTCCAGTAATAAAATTCTGTGAATGCAGATCCTAGTTGTAAAGGTTCAACTGCTTATAGGAGAAAAAGTTAAGGAACAAAATTGTAATTACATTCGGAGAAAAGTCATTTTTGTCCTGTGCAAGAAAGAAAAAGACAACAGTTCAACTTTTAAATAACGACTTAGTGAAAACCATGTGATATGGCAGGAGTTAAAAATACTCTGTAAAACCAGGGGTAGGTTTTCAAAAGCTCCTTCTTTTCAAGAATCCTTGATCTCCGTGTAAAAGAAGTATATTGTTCTACTGTAAAGTATCTTTTTACAGTTCCCCCCCTCTCCCTTCAGGGGGTTTTGCTAACAGGAAGTGACCCTGCATTACAGCAGGTTAAACTTGCCTTTCCCTGAAACATGGACAATTCAGGCAAATATAACCTTTTCCATTGTTACTTCCCCCCCCTCCTTCCCTCCTTTTCACATTACAGCGGGATAATGCAGCTTTTCATACTTTGGGATAACACTCTTCATAGCTTTTCAGCGTGGACTTTCACCGATTCGTGACAAAATGCTGCTTTGAAACCAGCCAAGGCTCATTTTAACAGATGAATAGCACCGCGAAGCCTCCACGACCACCAAGCAAGCCTGACAAGAGCC